GTCCACTACTTTAAGAATCCCAGTAATCTCTTGATGTTAACATCATCTGAAAGCCATATATGTAGAAGCTGGTTTGCTCTGTGTCTATTGAGCAGATATTGAACACACTCAGTTCAGTTGTTGGAATGAATACTGGAATGAAAAGGAGTTTCCTGACAGTCTTCCTTGGTTTATCTCTAAGTAGAAATTTCTAGAGAAAGTTATAATCCTCACTTTGATTCTCAAATCAAGACATTCTCAGATTCCTTCAGTCACCACCGTTTATTTTTTTCCTACAGCTTTCATTCCTTCTCATTGAGCACAAAGACATCAAGGATACTATTATTTGTCCTATTTGCAGCACTGCTCTGAAAACTTGGAAGTACATGTTTATTTTTCTAAATGAAATTGGCTTTGGAACTGACAGAAATCCACCCATTTATATTATAATGCCACCTTTCCCTTGCAGAAGCTGTGATTCGGGGTTTTGCTGTTATTGCTGCTTTTGCTTTTGTTATCAGCACTACTATATGCTAGAGAGATCTTCATTGAATCACACCCAGAGTTATTTTTACAACTGCCTGTTTTCTTTGAGAATACATCACTATTTCTGAGAAATAGTTCTCCTTTTTCTTCTGCATATTGAATACACAGTTCCCAATATCACAAAATCACAGATAGTTGAGGTTGGAAGACACCTCCATAGATCTAGCAAGTTCAACTCCCCTGCTCAAAGCTGGATCAACTAGTGTACATTGCTCTGGGCCATGTCCAGTTGAGTTTTGAATATCTCCAAGAACAGAGATGCTACAACCTATCTAGGTGACCTGTCCAAATTTCTGACCAATCCCACAGTAAAAAGCATTTTTCTTCTTATGTTTAAATGGAATTTCCTGTATTTCAATTTGTGCACACTGCTTCATGTCATTTCACTGGATACCATTCAGATGAGTCTTTCCTCATCTTTGCTCATCTTTACTGGCCCCCATCAGGTATTTAAGCACACTGATAAGCTCCTTCTGAGCGTTCTCATCTCCAGGCTGAGTAGTCCCAGCTCTTTCAGTCTCTCCTCATATGACAGATACTGCAGTTCTTAATGATTTCATGCCCCTTCTCTGGACTTAGTCCAGTTGCTCCATGTCTCTCTTGTAGGGGGGAGCCCAGATCTGGACCCAGCATTCCATGTGCAGCCTAACCAGTGCTGTGTAGAGAAGGATCACCTCCCTCAACCTGCTGGCAACACTCTTCCTCACACAGTGCAGGATGCAGCTGTCCTTCTCTGCCACAAGGGCACATTGCTGGCTCATGTTTAACTTTCATCCACCATGGCCTCCACATCCTTTTTTGAAAAGCTGCTCTCCAGCCAGTTGGCCTTGTATGTGTACTGGTGCATGGGATTATTCCCCTCCAGGTGCTAGACTCTGCATTTCCTATTACTGAACCTCACAAGGTTCCTGTTCAACCATTTCTCCAGCCTGCTGAGATTCCTCTGGATGGTAGCACAACCATCTGGTGTATCACCCATTACTCCAGTTTTGTGTCCTTTACAAACTGGCTGAGAGTGAGCTCTGTCCCATCAACCAGGTCATTAATGAAGAGATTAAACAGTATTGCATCCAGTATCAGCCCCTGGGGTTACTCCATTAGTGACCAGCCTCCAGCTTCACTTCCAACTGCTGATCACAACCCCTTGAGCCTGCCATTTAAGACAAATTTCAATCCACTTCATCATTCATTTATCTAGCCCATACTTCAATGTGTCTTGTTCTTACATGAGTTTCTCTCAATCTTCCTTAATTTTTAGCAGCTAAGGAGGTTATTTGTGAATCTGAATCACTTGCTATCATTGTGTGCTATCATTACAAAGAATTCTAATTGATAGATCCTACACCAGTCCTGAAAATAGCTCAGCCTTAACTTTTTCCACTCCCAAAGGAACAACCATTCACTATGACTGTATTTCTTTCCTCTAAATCAGTCTTTAATTCGTTATAAAATGTTGTGCACTTACTCTGGAATTTCCTATTTCCATTACTCTTATCAAGGACTTGATCAAAAGCCTTTAATAGAGCTAAGCAAATTGTATCTCCTTCCTCTTTCAAATACTCTTTTATAAACTATTTCAAAGAATTCAAACAAGCTAATGAAATGTGAAACCGTATATTAAAATCCTATTACCATCAAGTTGTAGTCCTTCCCCCTGCCCCCTGTCTGTAGATCTTTCAATATAAAATATAGTGTTACTTTCTTATTCCCTAATACCACAAGGAGTTTCCAGGAATTACTAGTACTGAAACAATCAAACCGACAGTGGGACACCAAAATCCCACTCATCCTCACTGTATGCTGCTGTTAAAGAACCATGCATGTTAAAGAAAAAAAGGATTGCCCCATCCATTCTCATGGCAATGAACTCTGGTGTGCTTTAGGAAGCATCTGTGTAAACAGAAAAACCACTGATCGCTACATCATTAATCCCACGGAGGAAAGCGATAGAACTTCCATTGATTTCAGAGGGGACATTTGATCAATGCAGAGTGCACATCACATGCTGAGACTAAAAGTGAAAGTAAATGTCTTAGGAAAGGTTCAGAAACAGTAAGGCTGAAGCATGAGGATATCATACATTTGAGGGTAGAAATAGGAAGTTTAAACTTCTTTTGCATAAAATAAGCTGCCAAAAGGACGATCAGTAGAAACTGAATTCTGACAGTGAAGTGTAGCATAAAGTCAAGAGACGAAAAGACTTCAAGAAACTAACTGATTGTTATTTCAGCAGAGCACTTCTTATTGTTGAAGCAGTATAATCTTTCTGGGCCTTGCAGATTCTGCTATGTTCCTGGCTAAGCAAATGGTGTCAGAAGCTACAAATGCCTTATGCTATGTCAGATGAACTTGGAAGCTGATATTCTCACAGCTAAATAACATTTGGGTCATACCCTTTCACCTGTTTTTCAGCTTTAGTCTTAGTTCTGCAATTCCTTGTGCATGGACTCAAAAGTGAATGCTGTAAAAGGCTGTAGATACGGGATAGACAGCACTTAACATAAGTTTTGGCCTTGATGCTGTATACAAAACATATGCTCCTTCTTCCATCATAGAACAATTTACTGATTTCACAATGGATTTGGAAGAGTACAGCAGTGTTGCAATTTTCAAATTACAGTAGGTAAGAAAATGGCCAAAGAAGTGGACACAAGGAAAGGCTGCCCGTCAGTTAGGCTTCCTGTCATCCACATCTTCTTCATGGCTGTCTCTTCCTTTTTTCATAACAAAATTGTTTTTCAAACTGACATTATAGATTTACTTATCTTTCCAACTCCAACTTTAACAGTCAGAAAGGCAATGCAAGGGAGAAAAAAAACCCAAGACCTCTGTTTTCCTGTAACAAGTTGCACCTGGAATGGAGCATTCTAAGCATTGTCTTAAAAAAAATGGCATTTCATCCTCATTATTCATTCTATTCTATTTAGTTATAAAAACAATTCTTCTCCATTCTCCATACCATTCTCTCAGCATGGTACGTGTACTACCACTCATTTGACTATGTGAAACAATGTGTAGAAAGCTACATTTAAGTTTAATGCAATTGAGATTTATTTCTGAAAAATAATTACGTTTGAATGGCTTCCAAAAAAGACTAGTGACTACTTCTTTTTTCAGTATGTCTCAATGTGGCTTTTAAATCTTAATTCAAATTAACACTTACTATGCACCTGCTTGTGATTAGACTTAAATTATATTTTGTGTCATGCTACACTGAAGTAACACATTATATATGAAGACACTGTCAAGCACACTAAAGTGTCAGTGGCTACCTTTTCTAAAGGACTAATAATAAAACTCTAGATTTTACTATTTACAATATAAATTTACTTGGTTCAAAATGTCAATTTGGTTGCAAAAACAGGTACCATAAGAGTAAACATTTTGTTGTTCTTATAAAATATGTATGCGCTATTAATTCTGTATTGTGTGCTAGTGATGAAGTGGCAGAACAGATTCCATTTTAACCCAGAGATAAAACAGATGAAAGCAGAGGAGGCTCAATAATGTCAGAGGCACCTGTTACAGTTAAAACCTATATTGTGATATCTGGCAATGACAGAATACACCAAAAAAAAACAAACAAAAAAAAAAAAGGAAAAAAAAAAGGAATATACATAAAAGTAGTTCACAGTTTTGATCAAAATCACTGCCACTGAAAGATGGTATCATGAAGAGTACTTAGCAGGACTGGATTTATTGATGCAGGTTGGGATTTTTATTTCATTTGGCTTGTTGAGTTTTTTAACTTTAAATCTTTGACTGTGTCAAAATAAAGACTCCATAATAAAAAGGTTAACTGCAATGTCCTCTAAACTGTCCTTGCCTCAGGTAAAAGTATTTATCTGGGACTACTCAGTCAGACATTTCTTGACTGTTGCAAGGCTTATCTGAGGCAATGGGAATTTATCCGACTTTGAGGCCTTTCAATGCACAGGCATTTATTGTATCTTTACTTGGCAATTTGCCTATTAAAAGGCCAAAGTTATACCCTGATAATAAGCAAGTACTAGGCAACCGTCAGATATAAATTAATATTGGCATATTTAATGTGCAATTCGCTAAAATAGGTTAATAGCAGATATAAGAAGGATAGATTACTTTCTCAGACAGTACTGTACAGTGCTACCTTCTAAGACATACGAAATATGACACACAAATGGGACAAGCTGTTGATTTTAGGACACCGAATGCTTGGAACTGTTCGTAGGTAAACCGTCAGCCTTCTATCACATACAGAAAAAATGGTAAATTTACATAGGTGTAATCACATAGGCATGTGGGGTTTTGTTTATTTGTTCTGCAGGATTAAGGAGTTTACGCACACAGAGAAAATTCCCCTTTATCCACACTACCCAAAAAACCCCACAGTGTTAAAAAGAACAAAATGTCTCAATATAGTGTTTCTTAAAATAGGAAAATTATTGTTTTCCTTTCTATTTTTTTTAATATTATGTGCCAAATATATTATTTACCTATCTCAGAAGCAGCCACTGTGATGTTGTACCAAGGTGTCTCCTCTCTGTCAAAGATCTTGGCAGTCTTAATGGTCCCAGTACTGGCATCAATAGTGAAATACCTATCTTCTTCTGTGTTATGATCAATGAAATATCTATGAAGAAATAGAATAAATATATATTCATTGTAGTATGTATCATCCACAATAACAGAAAGCTACATGAGAATATTACTTTCAAGCTTTTAAAATCATAGAAAGTTTTAAAAACACCCTAAGAAAAATTCTGTATTATGGAGACACCCAAAGTAACACTGTATTTCATTTCTTTGATAATGTTACATTTTGATACATAACAAGGTTTCCACTGTGAGTCACAAAGATATAAATTGCGAACAGGTGATATTTTACACAGCAGTATATAATCCTGTCAAAGGTAAGATACACATATATTTTGACTAAAAAATCATGAAATGGAAAGGCAGAAAAGAAAACAGAAAGATATTAACATATTATTCTTCTGTGTATTTGCTTGTCACTGCAAACCAGTGTGCTCAGCTCCAATACCGGTTTTTCATGGGGGTTTTTTCATGTTTTTCATGTCTCTCTGACATGAATTTGATGACATGATGACACAAACCGTTTTGAACATAACCATTACAGAGACTAGTAGCAGAAATGACTGATTCCCAGAGCTGCAATTGACGCTAGCCTAGAAGCACAACTAAGTAGCGCTGCTTAACTCCCTTGTCTTCTGGACACTTCGCCTAGCAGAGAAAGTCAAAACCTTGAAGTGGGTAATGGAAGCAGAGGGAGGGAACACAAAAGAAAAGATTGACAAGATATGTTTTCTCAAAGCTGGAATAATTTACAACAGCTTTTAACAAATGAAGCAATTACACACTCCTATGAAGCCTTCTTCACTAACTTCAGACTTGATGAAAAAAAATAAGGAAAAAGCTTCTAAGTCCTTTATATACCATAATTGTTTTTCTTGATAATTTGTCAGCCCTGCTTTTATTCTCTGAAGTTTTTAATATATGGAAGCTATATGTCGGTCAACATTATTTATCTGTCCCATCCAATTGCTCTTATTTTTACATCACCAAAAGTGTAACTGTCAGCTAATAAAAAGAGTGGTACACATAAAGGCTGACATGCTCAAAAAAATGAAAAATAACTTCAGCTTTATTTCTCTCACAATGTACTTAGGCTATTTGTGGAAAGGAAAAACAAAGAAGCAAACAAACGTTTCATTGAAAGATATATTAAAGTAAGAAATGGTATGTGAAAAAGCAAAGGAAATAAAGCACTAGGGGAGGAGGCATCAATTTGAGTGAGTCACCTTAACAGGTCAAAGGATAGGACACTCAGTGGAAAAGCAAACTAGGACTTGATGACTTAGGTTAAATCTTCCTTGTTGCAGAGAACCTGAACTCACCGGTCCCACGTGCAAGAATATTTTATATTTGCCTTACAATATGCTATTTTGTCTTGTGGCACTCAAGATTTTCTTTTCATGCTTCCTGTATTTTCAGCAATTAAAGAACTGTAGGTCAGGCACAGGAAATCAAAGCAGCCAAAACTAGGCTAGAAAATCTTTCCTTCTTGCCTGTTCCCCATCTTTCCTTTTGACATTGTGAAGAATGAAACAGCTCCCATCTGGCTGTGCGTGCTGTTGGAGAGACAGCAGACCTCAGTTCCCACCCACTTTATGTTTCTCTAGAGTGAGGATTTAACTTGCTGTAACCATCTGAGCTACAGCCAGAACCTATTGCGGTTCATTAACTACCAACACCTGAGAACACCTCATTCTAAAATACTCCAAAAGTGCTCAATAAAGACAGTTTGGATGTGCAAGATGGCAGCTGAAGTTGCTTCAAACAGGTAACACTCAAAATGTCTCTATACTGAAAGCAGACTGGCAAGATCTTGATTAAGTAGTGGATGGGGCAACCATTTTTAAGAATATAAGTCAGGAAATATTTTTTCAGAGGACATTATTTAATCAGTGTGTCCCAAATTGGATAAAAAGATCAAAACAATGATGTTGCCAGAAAAATAACAAATTAATTGCTGAATTCCTAATTGCTGAATCACAGTGGGCATTGCACACACATTTCCAAAAGTTGGTACGCTTCTCAGTGCTCAGTAAACTCAGGAGATGAATTAAAAGCAAACTCTTAACCAACATCCATCAGTCACTGATCACAACACGCTGAATGCTATAGGTAAACAAGGAAATTTATGTTACTTTTGAGGAATACTGGAATCCTCTGAGGACCCATTACAAAACAAACAAACAAAAAAGGACCACACAACTATCCTGTTGGCATTATTTTATGTGTCAGTGTTGGCCCAGGCTACACACACCTCTTTATTTGGGAACTAGGATTTGCTTTTCAATTTCAGAACAATTGATTGTTCCAGTGACTCTGCAGGTCTCAGTTTTCCATGAAGCACAGATTTTCAGGTTCTCCAAGTGTATATTTATTATAGAAATGTTTTGAAAGATTCTGATAGCAGCGGAGAAGTTGTATCTCACATATGCACAGCTAGCCTTAAGTTTTAGTAATTACAAAAATTTTGGATACAGAGTGGCATCAACCTCTAAAAAGTCCATAAAGCTGCCATGCTTGCCATGGAGTTGTGTTGAGATTTGAACTTTGTACAGAAGAAACATGCTTCAGGTGGAGAAATCCCTCCATGCTTTATATCTTATGCTCAGCACTGTAGGGAACCTGAGCTATGACAAATAGTTGGAATATCTTGACTATACTACTATTAAAGTAGAAATAATGAATGTTTGGTTATGTAGGACAAGATGGACAGGGCACACATACACAAACATCTTTTATATGATGAACTGCAATGCTGGCAGCCAAAGCACAGGAAGCATAATTGTCCCTCACTTTTCTTGGAGACCTTAGCAGGACACTTTACTGGTGGAGCTTACAATCGGGTATGCAATGACAATTCCTTCTCTCCTACTACACCCTTGCTTTTCTTTACTCTAGGGGTCTCCTGATAATGACAGGAATTATTTGCTATTAAAAAAAAAAATAAAAAAGCTTCACTATCCTGCTCTTATGGAATATGTACTGCAAATCCAAAACAGTTTATGATACAAGAGTCTTGTCCCTGCAAACGTATATCCCTGTGGACATTGTTTACTTATTAACAACATCAGGCATACTGACTACTCTCTGAGCCAGTATTGTGCTGACTACAGAACCATAAAAATAGGGCTATTTACTATTTGTAGACAGTAACTTAAAAATAGACAGGATTTCAAATTGGGCGTAAATGAGAAAAACTTAAAGCAGGAAGAATACTCAGCTGCTTTCATGTGTGTGTGACTTGTAACAAATCATTACCTCTCCCTCTGAGTAAAGGTACTTCTGCTTCTAGTGATACTAGAGTAACGAAAAATGTTTCTATTTTTTCCACAGTAGCACTTCATTTTCATGTGCTAGCTTGTGTATTTAGTTACAGATATACTGAAACATTCACAGCTGAACAGAATTTTTCTTGATCATGAATAAATGAGTGGCCCTTTCTTATGCTTTCCCATTATTATAATGTTCAGTTCCCCTTCATTACTCAAGATTCTTTCTTAAAATTGCTTTGTGTATCATATCTAAAGCAGCCATTTGCACTTCATTAAGGTCTAAGTAAAACAAGCTACAGAAGAAACTCCCACACAGTAGAAGAACTAGGAATGTTAGTCCAAAGCACTGCTCCCAAGTGCTCTAAAAATATTTTGTACAAGAAACACCATTGATAGAGCCACTCATTTTTACCACGTGTAAGAGGACATTTAGAACAAGTTGCATTTTATTTACAAAGTGCTTAACATTTTAGGCCTTTATAAATAGTAGTCACTGATTTATCTGCATATTAAGAATAGAGACCAGGTATATCCCTAAATATACCATACACCAGAGACAATTTTTTTACTTTCAGCTAGATAATAATGGCAACAAAAATAGTCATACCCTTCCCTCCTGCTCTTCCCTCCACCTCACCTGAGCTGCTTTTAAATGCTTTTCCTAGATCACAAAAAGCTGTAATGCAAGTTTTGAATTTCAAAGAGTTACTTCAAAAATGAATTTTCATCTTAATTCAGTCGACTGTTTAGCATATTTTTAACCATTAAATCAGCACATCTGAGTTGCATGGCACATTTTAATAAAGAGAGTTAATAACAAGACATGCCTAGATAAACAGCTCTCCATAAACTACATCAAAACCAGCAGCAGAAACCAATCTTGAAGAAACTACATTAAAAAGGATCATGAATATAGAAAACCTATTAGTCACACTGTCTGAAGAGAATCTGAAGGAAATTAAATACCAAAACTCAATCCTGCTAGCACTGGGAAATGCAACATGTGCCACCTCTGTATTACGTGGAGTCACTCAACAAAAGGACATTCCCAGCTTCCATCCATGTCCTTATTCCTGCTTCTAACCAATGCAAGTCCCTGGCGTCTGTGACTTCATTCTTCACTTCCTGCCTTTTAGTAAAGCAGTGGTTCAGTGGCGACAGATATTCTCACCATTTTTATCAAAAACTAAAAGCATCTGCGTTAATTAGGAAATAAAGAGAAATATGATAAGCAAGATGGGCCTTAGGCAGAAGGGCACTCAACATATAAATCAGTTTGCACTATTAAAGTAGTCAGGCTCTAATAACACAGAGAATGCTTAAAAACATGAAGTTTTAAAAGGTGCTAAAGGAGTTTAGGAACGTTAATGTTTTCCAAACCTTTTAGGAGCACTTCTGATATTAAAACCCATAAGTATTTTCAGAATCTCTCTCTCTAAATTATTCAGTCTTAAGATAATATTAACATCAGTTTGTCACTTGACAGACAAGGGGCACAGTCTGTTACTATTCCAGTATGTCTCCAGTCACTGTGTTTTAAGGAACAGCCTTGAGTTTGAGTTTTTAAATGGGTTTGAGTTTTTAACTTGTCTTTTTTTTTTTTTTTGTTTAATCAAGTCTTTAGCTTATCCTTTCATTATACTATTTTTATTTATTACCCTATTTACCAACTGCAAACAAGAACTCCGTTACAAATTTCCACCCTTGCTAAAACCCTGCTATTCCTAATGAACTTTCAAAGCCAGATTTCAACCAGACGTGGATT